AGCACAATCTTTGCTGTTATCTGAGAAATTATTTCTGATTTCATTTTTCCCAGATCTTCTTATGTTGCCAGTTCAGACAGTCCAGGTGGTTAAGTATCAGATTGTTCCATCTTGTTTCCCTTTGGGGTTGCTGTAGGTAAACTGGACGTCTGTTTTTGAGGTTTATGCGTCTTCTCATTTCCATGGTGGTGGTGGGGGTTGCTTCTGGTGCCCGCGCGGCTCACCTTCTCTGCCCTAGGAGTGTGGAATGGTGGCATGGGAGCCTCCTTCTGGGAGCTGGGACTGGCTCACCTTCTCTCTCAAGCATTTGTCCCAGGTCGGTGCAGACAATGCAGAACTGACCAAACTGTTTCTCTCCCTGCTTCTCCTCTTCCTCTCTCACCACGGTCACAGGACAAATTGGTCAGCAAGAAGCTCTGTACCAGCAAAGAGGGGGAGTTCTTCTGCCACAGACAGGCCTATTGTCATTAGTTTTAAAGGAAAGTAAATAGTTTCTAACCTCCCTATTGCTGTTAGGTTGTTCTGTTCTCATATTTGTTCTTTCATTCTGCCTTTTTCTCTTGTCTTCAACATTTTCCTAGAGTTTGTGTGATCTTCCTGTGTCCTCTGGCCTCACTGCTAACCTTTTCCTATCATTCTGCCTATCTATCCCTCCCTCCCCAACTCCTTCTAAGTCCCCATCCCAAAGGGTAAAGTTGCCATATTGAAGAGGTTCTTCATTATAAACAGGTTGGGCTGGTCCTCGATTTTGATTTAATTCACACAGTTAAAGGTGATAGATTAATAATTACCACAAATTGTCATTTTCTAAGCTATGCTTGATGCTATGGTGTCGCTGATTGTATCACTTGGGCTAAGGTGTTGTGATTGATCTAATCAGTTGTCCTTCCTGGTATCATGAAAATGAGATAGCCTCAGAGTCATTAGAGACTCAAAACCTAAGACCTAAAGTCCAGCTATATCTGGAAGACACTTCTGAGAAGCAATCATTCTATAAGGGTTCTAAATACAAGCAACAAAGATACTTACAATAAGCAATTTCAAGGTATCAGCCCAGAAACCAAACCAAGGACAGCACCAAAAACAAAAATGAGAAGACATCTAACTAAGGCACAAACCCAGACTTCCACCCCACCAAAGGTAAATTCTGGGGGAAACAAGGTGGAAAAGTCTGTAATCAACTACCTGGACACCCTGAACTGATAGCACAGGAAATAACACAACAGATGAATGAGGCTCTAGAAAAATTCAAAACAAAAATAATTTCCCAGATAACTACAGAAGTGGTGAGCAGAATGAAAGACATGATTAGAGACTCTAGAACATACACAGATCAAAAAAAAAAAAAAAAAAGAAAACAGCCTGCCAGTTCCTAGGAAGATTAAACAGAGCTACCATAGGACCAGCAATTCCACCCTAGGTGTGCACTCAAAAAAGAGGAAGACATAGATCTCCAGAAACATTGTTCACCGCTGTCCACAGCAGCATTATTTACAACAGCCCAATGGTGAAAACAGCCACAATGTCCACGGTGTGAATGGATATGTAACACATAGTGCGTTCATGCTGTGGGATGTTCTCCAGCCAGAAAAAGGATTAAAGTACTGATGATGTGCTGCAAATGAATGATCTCAAAAGCGTTATGCTAAGTGAAAGAAACAGGCATAAAAGGCCACATAATGGACAAAGTATAGTAATGATATAGTCATGATAAAGAGGTAAGGTGAAAAATGTTAGCATGAGGGAAACTTTAACATTATATATCAACAAACCAGTTGCATGGAATAGAGGAATATAGTTATTGGTAAAGCATGGACTAGTATCTAAATACTAGTTCTTGTGATATTGTTGTCCTGTTCTGATTTCTATTTTATCTTAATATAGAAGGTACTGCAAACATGTACTACTAAAAAAAAGGTACAGCTCTGGAAACACAAAGTGAAGTAGCCCAGTGCTCTGACAATGCACAGCTTGCTCCATAGTGCAAATAAATGCAGGTGGTGGTATATGTGAAGGCACAAGACCACTCACATTGTTGTTGTGTGTAATAAAAGTCTGTTGAATGATAAATGAATAAATCTTAACTATAATTTGATCATAACCTTCATAACATAAATGTCCAATATCTCATAGGGCAACCTTTCAGCAGAAATTATTCTACTTGCTCAAGTCCTTCCCTAACATTTTATAAGTCAAATGACTCTACCTAACCAGGTTGGCACTGGATCTGGTTTTGTGAAAGAAAATCAGAAATACATGAAGGGAGTGGTATGGAATTAAATCTGAGCTCTGTTTTCAAAAACTAAAATAAACTCACTAGAAAACGTGCCACATAGTAGCTTGGCACTGTGGTATGCACCTGGCTGAAGCTGAGCCCTTAGTCACTTAAGCCCAGGAGTTCGAGGCCAATCTCAGGGAACTCAGTGAGACCCCCTCTAAACAACAAAAAGCTACATACTATGATTCCACCTGGACTAAATACAGATGTAGCTTCAGGACTTGAGCAAATTAACCCATTTCCTAGGGCTTGTTTGGTAGAGTCCTGATTGATGGATATGAGAATTCAGAGTAGATAAATTTATGGAGACAGAAGGCAGATTAGTGGCTGCCTAGGCTGGGGTAGGGGATGATGGGGAGAAACTGGTAATGAGTATGGAGTTTCCTTTTGAAATGATGGAATTATTTTGAAATTGAGTAGTGATGACAGGCATGCAACTTTGTGAATACACTAATATCCACCACCCTGTACACTTTGAAAAGGTGAATGTCATGGTATAAGCACTGTAGCTCAGTTAAAAACATAGGGCATCTCCCTCCCTTTCCTATTGAGAATTCCTGTACAGGTTTCAGTAAGAACACTCAGGTCCTATGGTTGCTGCCACACAGTCCTGAAGCTGAGATTTCCCATAAACTTGGATTTCCTGGGGTCATGGAACAAGCATACTAGGAAATCTACAGAAACTTGGGACAAGTGGTAAGCAACCATTCCTTCTGCACATCACTCCACATAGACCTGGTAGAACAACAACCAGACTCAGGCCGTCTGCCTCCCAGTGTAGCCACTGCCCATACCACTGTCTACTTTCAGGTGCTTAAGCCACACACTAGGGTGCTCCCTGACTTCCTTCCCTGTTAAGTAAAAGAGGACTGGCCAACATCTATTCATTCAGCAAATATTCATGAGGCCCCCATGGATAGGCTCTATTTGAGGCGCTGGCTGCAAGGTGAATAAAAGACATGGCTCTTGACCTTGCAGAATCAGTCGTCTCAGGACTTTTTACAAAGGAACTTTCAAGAACAGAGTAGACTCAGGGAACACTCTGCTTCCTGTCCTTCCTTACCTCCCTCACTGTGCAAAGCACCACACTTTCTTCTTCTTTTTTGTTTTTTCTTGGTACTGGGGATTGAACTCAGGACCTTGTGCTTGCCAGGCAGGCGCGGTGCCCCTGAGCTAAATCCCCAGCCCTGTGCCACACTTTCTTTTTTATGCTGTGCACCAAAATAGGGGCCTTGCACATGTTAAGAATGTGCTCTAACACTGAGCTACACCCCTAGTGGCCACTGCACTTTTGTGTGACATCTCTGGGACGACATCAATTGTGACTGAGCCAAGCCGTAGTGGTGGTCCCTGACCTTGTTTCACAAGGCTGTGGAGTGAGCAGCTGGCATGATACTGGACACAGGGCTTCTCAGGTCACCTTGGGCAAACTAGGAAATGCAGCCAACCCAGGCCCCTGGAACAGGGTTGTTCATGCATATGTTCTAGGAGCTTGAGATCAGAGGAAGTTGTTCCAGGCTCTCCTTTGCCTAATTCAGCCCTTTCCTCTGGGGGAAAAGGGATTAGATACCTCACAGTATCTGGAATGGATCCCATATGAGGGTGGAGAACACTGGAATGGCCATTACATGACATACTGGAAAAAGAACAGTAGATTTGATGAAAGTATCAGTGCAATATTAAATTTATTGAAGTTAAGGTTATGTAATGAACATCCCTTTTTAAAGAAAAATTTAAAGTAAGGGATAAAGGGCTAAGATGTATGTAACTCATCCTCAGGGTTCAGAAAAAAATCATACGCACATGTATATACATTCCGAGAATGTAGATGTGCATCATTTTGGGTTTCTTTCTCATGGTTTTGGCTCTTCCATTGAAAACAATAGGTCCCTGGAGAGGAAAGAGCAGGACAGCCCTGAGGCCCCCCTCAGGCTCAGGAAAAGCCCAGGAAGAAACACACCATAATGTTAATCACAGTTATATCCAATTGGTGGGATATATGGATTTTTTTATCATCTTCTTTGTCTTTTTAAATTTTGGCTGCAGGATACAAAACCAACACACAAAAATCAGTAGTCTTCCTGTACACCAATATGAACTCATCAAGAAAGAAATTAGGAAAACAATACTATTCACAATAGCATCAA